TTCCGGCTGGAATTGCGCCGGGAGCCACGGGGAGCGCCGCCCTTTGCCGCTGCTGCATCCCAGCGCCGCTCGCTGGAAGAAAGGGGAGGCACGAGGCTCGTCTCGCAACGTTTCTTCACGTGTTAGCGAGCGATCCCGGACGCGCTGAGCTCCAGGTCAGCTCCCCTGGCTTTGATTCATCTCGTTCCCAAGAACTCTTCGTAGGGTTGCAGGCAGCCAACGTAATCCTAGTCTAGACCAGTTCACCCCCTCTTTAGTAGAGAAACTGAGACATAAGAATGAGAAACTTATTTTTGGTCTTGTCCTTAAATGTGCCTTGGCCATATTAAAACACTTCGTTTAAAAACGTAACAAAAACCGAACCCTGCGAATTCTTTACTTGAAAGCAAAAGCTTTCGGATGAAACGCAGCCCAAAAATCTTCCTCCGTTAATCAGTTGGTTAGTTTTTAAGGTGTCACAAGACTGTCTTTGTTGTTGCTGTTACAATGGACTTAAATGATTAAATTTCTGAGTCCATAATTAAGGGCAGAGTGCATAAGACCCAGACTTAATATCGTGAGTTTACCTGGAGTAGATACTGTATAATGATGACTGTAGGCCCAAACAGCAACCCTAAATCTCTTCAAGTGACATGCTTCCAGGAAAATGTGAAAGATTACAGTTCTAACAATCCGCCTGAACTAGCCCGAGTCAGTTATATATTCACTTACAGAGGAATCTCACCCAGTTTATAAGAAGACCGCAGTCATAAGTTTTACTCAGAAATAAGGCCTTCCAAGCTGTATACCTACTAAAAAAGGCAAAGACGCCCTCAAGTGGAGCTTAAGGTTGTTTGCCATTTACTTTTTTTGGAGATGTTGAGTAACTATGCCTAGAAATGGGATGAGTAAATATAGAAGGTTTTTAAACATCTGTCAGTCCAATTTATCTGAAAGAGAAGCTAATTACTTTCTAAGCCAGTGGCTTTCAAACAAGCTTTCGTAGCACTGCAATCTGAAAATAAGTTTTTCTGAAATCAGTTGTTTTAATTTTAAGAGATATTGGGTTGGAATGTTGCTAGTAAGAAATATAACTATCATTGTAAAACACAATTATTCCAATTTCACATTTTTCATGATATGATAAATGTTTTGTTTACTTTGAATCACTCAAATTAGCCTTCTGTATCTCTTTCTTGCTGCATAGTAGTCACTGAAGTTTTGCAGCCCAGATATAGTAAGAAAAACAAACTTAAACTTAGCCATAAAAAATGCAAAGGAGACACTATGGTTTAATTAGAGACTCAAGTGGCAGGGGAGATTCCAATTCAAATCTGCACTAAACCAGTTATCTGTCAATCTTGATACCAGACTGCCTGAATTACAGTATTTCCTGATTTGTAGCAATCCTCAGCTAGATAGATTCTTCAGAGGCCTCTATGAGGTAAAGTACAACAAATTACTATTGAAAAGACAGATTTTTCAGTGGAGACACTTCACCTGTGGATAAAGCATGAAAGCCGGCTGGGTGACTTTGGGTCAGTCACTCTCTCTCAGCCCAACTCACCTCACAGGGTTGTTGTTGTGAAGAAAATAGGAGGATGGAGTATTAGGTACATTCACCCTCTTGAGTTATTTATAAAAATAAGAAAGGGAGGATAAAAAAAAATCTAAAAATAAAATAAAAATGAATGGCTAAGCCAGTGCCTATTTCCCTGTCATTTCAATGCCAAACAAATACTTGTTTTATCACTGGCCAAAACCCTGCTTAGCCTTTTAAAATATTAGTTACTTGGTGAACTTATTGAATCTTTTTTATCTGCTATTTAATGTTATTCTATATCATATTTTAAATTGTTTTAATGTTCTTTTAAATTATTAGCATGCCACCTGTTTAAATTATTTGCACACCATTTGCTATTAGTTAACCTATATGTGATGTAAAATTAATAAAACTTACAGAATAGCTGGCTTTGCACAACATGCTAGCACATGGTTGACTGAGCCATAAATTAACCCAATTGTCTGGATTTGTACCACACCCTGAACCAGAAACTAATCACATGAAATGAGTTTGCATATACAGTACAGTAAGCCACAAATCAGCCAGCCACATTTTAGCCTAAAGTGTTCATGAGCCAAGCTAATCTAACGTGGATAAAATAAAAGGAACAAAGACAAGAAACTTATAATTAAAACAACCCTTAAGGGCACTGAGGATCACATCTTGTTAGCATGTCTTGAGATTCTTATGTGCTGAGACAACTTGCTTTCTTATATTATGGGAAATGTGCTTAAAATTCTTGCATGCAGCCCACATAAGCTATTATTAATGCTTCTCTGTATTATTTCTGTGGCTATTATTCTTGCCTTACCTGCTGCTTACATAAGCCTAATTCTCTGTTCTCTCTTCCTGACTCATAGTGCAACCTGTAGCCACATTTTTCTCTCTCTCAGATCCTTTCCCAACATTTGCCCATTTCTGCAGAATTATTGTAAGAACTATCAGGGACTGGTTTCCTTTCTTAGACTTTATGAAGACTTGCCACCTCTCATCTCTTCTGTCAGGGTTTTGATGCCTTTACAGCTGAGAGGACTCCAAGAGTTGTCTTTCCCTATTAATAAATCTCCATGAAGGGGAAAAATTTCACCTTCTAAACCTGTTCCTTCAATTATCTAGTTTATCCAAAAACAAAACAAAACAAACACCTCAGAGCCACTAGGTATGGTTGGTAGGTTTCAACTTTACTTTTTGACAAGAAAGGCATCAAGACAGCTATAGCCTCTAGTCCAGTGTTTCTCAAGCTTGGGAACTTTAAGATATGTGGACTTCAACCCCAGACTTCCCTAGGTTGGCATGCTGGCTGGGGGATTCTGGGAGTTGAAGTCCACACACATCCTTAAATTCCCAAAGTTTAAAAACACTGATCTATACAATTCAACCACAAAATTTAAAATAAAAGTAACTACAGTAAAACATAAAAATCTCATAAAAAGCACCAGCAACAGAAGTGACATGGCAGAAGGCAAGAAGTCATACATCTTCTTCAGTTTGTCTTTTCTGAGCTATCTTCCACCCTCCTCCATATTCCTCTGAATGAGAGGGCAGAGATTTATAGGCAATATGGCTTGTCCCAAAACAACTTGAGCTATCCTGCTGCCTACAGTATGTTCTAGTGAAGATGCTTATCCCAGGACTAGCTGGGGTGTGAGATTCGACCATCAATGTAGATGGTTTCTGTAATGAGGACATTGGGCCACACCGAACAGTAGAATTAAATGCATGGACAAAAAAGAATAAAACTTACCAACCAGAGTTTCAGGTCCTGGGGGTTTGGAGTTCCTGGCTTGATGCCTGGGAAAACCTCTGCTGGTGCTTATCAAGCTAATGCACCTGATTTTTAAATATATTGTATGGGAAGCTGGCCAACTACAAATAGAACATCAGCCTCCAACATTGTTTTTATTTCCATAAATACCTCTGAAGTCCCTGTGAATCTCATGTATTCTTAGAAAACAAAAATGGCAAGTGGCTGCAGACCAGCACTTCCTTTGCCTTTTGATTTGGCAATGCAAACCAGGATGGTGAGAGTCTATGAAGTCTACAAAGTATTACACTGGTGATTAAACTTTATGAATAACAGCTTTATTCAATTTTGTCGCAGCAGAGTACAGCATATTGCTTAAACTATAATTGTCTGCAGAACAGAGTTTATTCTTGGATTTCTACTTAGGGATTAAAATTACCTTTTCCATACATTTTTAAACGGTGTTATGATTAGAGTCACAGAACTGGTTTGATCTTGCAAAAGGTATCTTCACAATCACTGACTCATTTTGAAGCTTGGCTTTGACTAGAGCAGTGTTTCTCAACCTTAGCAAGTTTAAGTTGTCTGGACTTTAATTCCCAGAATTCCCCAGCCAGCATTCTGGGAGTTAAAGTCCAGACATCTTAAAGTTGCCGAGGTTGAGAAACACTGGACCAGAGGCTACAGGGAGCTGAATAATATCCAAAAGCCTATTGAAGTTGAATGGAATTTTTAAAAAAGGTAGTCAAGAGGATGATTGCAGGCACAAAAGCTTTGGGGAGAGACCCAAAGTGTACGGTGTTAACCCTTCGAAGTAGTCCAGACAAGAAGCACAACCATGAATACCAACTCTATCTTTATTGTAAGGTTACATTAACAGAATCTTGCAAGACTGAAAGTATTTCTCCCTTCCTTTCCTTTTACTCTCTGGAAAACTAGGGAGGGTCCCTTCTGAAATGCTTCCCATGCCTCCTTTCCTTCTGTAGGCTGAGAAATCTTTTACATGTTGGTTGTGCAGTCTGCGGCTCTTCCTCCTGTCTCCCAAGGTCATTCACATATACCATTACAAAGGTAAAACCTCATTGGCAGACTTCTGTTATAATGATAAGCTCCTAGTTTGTCTAGCTTTGGGATTCTTGGCACTTCTGTCCAGAACTTCTCCTTTCAGTTAAACTTTAGAAAAATAGATTTTGGGCACAAATTCAATATAGGCATCATGTTTAAGGAGTGCACATTCCAAGTTGTGCACCTGATCTATGATGGATCATGAAGTTACCATTTGAGTAATACTTGCTTTAGGGTACTTTTTTTTTTAAAAAAAAAAATGAGTTTCAGTTTATTAGCTCCTTTTAGTTCCTTTCCAACCAAAGCACCTGTCAAGGGCATCCA